TCTAATAACTATCATAGAAATGGCATTTACTATATAATAGATTCTAGCATATGGGCTATCGTATCTAATTGCATATATGTACATATAAATTCTATTCAATTTTCTACTCTAATAGACTTTTATCTCTGCCCTGACTAAAAGTTCAGTCGATTTTAGCCAACAGCTAATTTGTTAACTTTAATGCCGATTGTAGGGTGTGAAAAAATTGCATTTTAATGAACTGCATTTAGGCTAAATTCATTATTTAGCAGCAGCAATAGCAGCAGTGGCAATTGTTGCTGCAACTGCAACTGCAATTGTCCCAGCCAATTGCATATTTGATAACAATTAATTTGGCCAGTTGCGCTCTTTTGTATTTGTGCAAATAAATTAGCTGACAATTTTACGTTGCAGGGGCGCCTGGCTAGTTTGCTCGTCGCCACGCCCACACTGTGTGTCCTTAGCAAATATTTGGCTGCATGTTAAATGTGCAGCAATTAGTTTTATCAGCAGCCCAGCGAATTTTAATTTATGCCAAATTAATTGAGCATTGTTAAATTTGCGTAAACGCGAGCCTCGCTGTCCGCGCTGCTCTGCATCGTTGATCTCCGTTTCGAACTGAAACTGGGTTAACCAACTGACGGTCAACTGGCTGCCGACTGCTGACTGCTCTGCGCATGACGCTGACAATATCACAAACCCCAAGCCTTGTCATTTGATAGCTTCGCGGTCTTCAGACACAGACTTGAACTGAGGTTTTCAATTACGCCTTGAGTGTGTGTCGGGTGCTGCCTGTGTGTGTGTGGCTGTGGGTGTGAGTGTACGTGTGTGTGTGCTCTATTTGAAGGCTGTGGTTAGCGCTTCCGCATGCATTCCGCTTCATGCTGCGATTATGTTACCAAGGTCGAGGTTAACATAATTATGATAGTAATAATAATAATGATGTAAGAGTTGGACTTTAAGATGCATATTTCTCGCACTCCTCCACCTTGTTGCCATTCACGAATTTCGAATTTCATTTTGATTTGTAAAGTCTCAATCTAGTTATCTTTTCGAACTCAATTTGAATTACATTTTAAATTAAATTGTATGTTTACTCACGGCTTAAATTCTATACAGATTTTGTGTACTTTTTGTTTTTCCAAATATGAAAGTTAAATTGTTTATCGCCTTTTCAAACATAATTATATCGCTTTTCTAATTACAAATTTCACTTTTCCCACTCTATATATTGATGTAATTAATTACAGTAAAACATAATCCGTCATTCACTAATAATTTACGCACTTTTATCTCTTTTACAATTCTTGCAGAACGCAAACTGTTCGTTGGCATGCTAAATAAGAAGCTGAACGAGAACGACGTGCGTAAGTTATTCGAAGTTCACGGCGCCATTGAAGAGTGCACAGTGCTGCGCGATCAGAACGGCCAGAGCAAGGGTTGTGCCTTTGTCACATTTGCGACCAAACACGCTGCCATTTCAGCCATTAAAGTGGTAAGCCTAAGCTTTATAAACTGGTAGAATATCCCTAATTACATACACTACCTACTCTGTTGCAGACCTTGAGTCAGAACAAAATCATGGAGGGCTGCACATCGCCGCTGGTTGTTAAATTTGCCGATACACAAAAGGAGAAGGAGCAGAAGAAGATACAGCAGATACAGGCGAATCTATGGAATCTGGCTACCAATATTAATATACCACTCGGCCAGACGCCCACCACAGTTTCCACACCGATACTGCCGAACCCACCGCAACAACCGTCGCCGGTAATGGGCGCCGATGCTCTGACTCCCGCCAGCATTCAGTTGCTGCAGCAGCTGCAAACAGTTGGACTGCAGCAACAGCTGCTTCAAGGTGAATATCTCTAATAATATTTTAGCTTGTGGCTACGAGTTATTAGTTAGTTATTGTTTATGGTGTTAAATTGTCAAAAAGGCTGTGTACGAGGTATACTAGATTCGGAACTACAAGTTCTAAATGTGCGAAATTTGTTATCAAACAATCATTATCAGTATCTAGAAGTGTTAGTCACAATTTTAACACCAATCTATATAAAATTGAGTAAAATGGAAAACCCTACAATCTATGCTAAAAGCAATATAATATAATATAATATAATATAATATAATATAATATAATATAATATAATA